TTAATAAAGAATATTCTGCGATATTATACGCAACGGTATCATTTCTATTACATCGATTATTTGTAACAGTTACACCATTAGGTTCTTGATACATCCCAGTACTTTCCATAAGATCTATGACACCACTTTCTATATTAAAAATAATAAAGTTTAAAAAAAACGAAAGGTCTACTCAGACACGTATAACAAATGGACAATTAAATTGCATGGATGCATGCATGCATGCACATGCATATACGTGCATCTCTAATAAGAAGTGTGTCTCTTTCGAGGAACACAAAGTGTAACGATGAGATGAATAACTAGAAACCTAGTAACCCATGAACCCGTATAACATAATTCACTTTATTGCAATAAACGAGTGAACTAATTCTGTCGTTGACGTACAATCAAATCGTTTCCTTTTTTTTTTGTTGTTGTTATTTTTTACATGAAAAAAAAAAACAAAATTCAATAAAATAAAACGTGCAATATATATTTAAATAAATTTTTTAATTGATCCTTTATTATTATTATTATTATTATTATTATTATTAATATTATTAATATTACAGAAACATATTAGGATAAAAATCAAAAGTTTCTACTTTTATTAATTCATTATGCAATTTATTAAATAATTTATAATACAAATAAACTTTGAATTCACCCTAATATTGGATTGACAAGTAATTTTAAAAAGCCACCTATGAACAAAATCCGCAATCATTTATTTGCCAATCCAATATAGCCCAGGAGCCAGTGATAGTTTTTGGCGACTAAAAAAAAAACCGAAAAATGCTGATGACTTTTCCACCGACATACAGCCAGCTGACGATTTTTTTTATTTAAATAATTATATAAACTATCAACTTTATAAATTTTAGCTGGGTTAAATGAATGAAACTCAAAAATATTTTGACATGTTTTCGGTGCTCCCGTTGGCCCACCCACCGCTGGTGCGCCAGCTGACGGTAACTATGCTTTACATCACAACTAAATTTAACATTCTACAAATTATGGTCAGGGTTAAAATGACTGACAAACTACTATCACTGGCTTCCGAGCTAATATAAAAGTGATATATCAAAGAAGAAGAAAAAAACAAAATTAAATTAAAATTAATGAATTAAATATGAAAAATTAACATACATGCATTATAAATAATTAAACAATCAAATAAATACCTATATCTCGTAGATTAAAATCAGCCATCGTAATTCCAGTTAATGCAAATGCAACAAAAACAAAGTTGACATAAGGGTGGATGATAGCACAAAAATATCCTAGGATTCTCCATAATTGTTTTATGTGATCTAATTGCATGCCTAAACTTGTTTTCTTTATGAAACCATGACCTTCTTTATAAAAAACACTATTTAAATGAAATACTTCTTTAATTTAATTGATATTATCAATTTATATTTATTATAAACTTTTTATTCAAATGGATCCTCCTCTAGGATAGAAACTAGAAATGTGAAACTCTCTTTCTGGTTTGATGGTACAAGACCCTTCTGGAAAGAAGAACGAGACAATATTTCTTTAGCTTTAACCATTCCACCTCTTCTTCTTCTTCTTCTTCCTCTCCAATCATTTTCGTTCCTTCTTTAACTATCCTATCCCTTTGATCTTTCTCTCTCTTTCTTTCTCTTTCTCTTTCTTTCTAATTCTTTAAGTTCCCCCGTAACTCTCTTTTTCATTACTCTAACTCTTCTTAAGAAGAATATATGCGTTCCGCGTGTACGCATTCCACACATGCGCTTTTAATGACAATTCCGCGTCTATGCTTTTATTAACACTGATTCGAATAACACGTGCTTCACGTATCGTGTTAAATATTAGACCTTTCTTCTTTTTCTTCTTCTTCCTTATCTTCTTCTTCTTCTTTTTCGTTTTCGTTTTCGTTTTCTTCTTGAAGAAATGTATATCAATAACATATATGATTCATGTGTGTGTTTATAATGTATTATATTATTTAATATTATATTATTGATATTTGTACTTGTTTTATATATTAAATTAATTACAAATTTAATTATATTTAAGTTTATATTAATATTTATATATTAAAATTAATAACTATATATTATTAACTAATTAATTATATAATAATTATATATTTTATTATATATTATATATACTGTTCTATTCTATTCTATATATTATATATATTTATTATTTTATTGTATTATATATATATATATATAATGTAGTTCTATTTTTTGTTTCTTTTTTTAATAAAATTCGTTCTAGACGTTTTATCTTATAGAATTAAATAATTTTCTTTTTATAATAATAATAGTAATAATAATAATAATTTTAATTGTTATATATTTAAATATTAGATAATAATTAGAATTAATAAACATTTCATAGATCGAATGCAATGAAGAAGATACATTCGCAGACATTCAGATTAATTGCTTCCTTCCTGCTTTGAATACTACTACTACTTACAATTAATATGTTACTATATTGTATTTTCTACTAATAGATAGATAATACATAATATCTTAATAAATCAAATTAGTCTATTTCATTGGCGTAACGTTAAGAATTTGATAACCGTTCAAAAAACATGTGTGCATATCTCACAAGTTAGAAGTAAATTCTGCAAATAAACAAATTTCAATGATAATTTATTATATGATATTATTATAATATTATTTGTACTTTTAATTCGTAATTATTTATTTAATTATTAATTTAATCATAAAAATGCGCGCCTGTTCATATGCAACCCTCCAGATACACTTTGAAAATGTAGCTTGCGAGCGCCATCTACTGAGACAAAATTTTTTTACTGTCAAAACTGTTTATACACGTATGTATTACGGGTTGCATATCTTTCAGGCAGAAAAAAATTTCGTCCCGACAGATGATGCTCGCTAGCAACATTTTCAAAGTGTGTCTGGACGGTTGCATTCATACAGGCCCCGCGCACTTTTATAATAATTACAAAGAAAGTAAATAATAAAACACTTTCAAAAATGCTTACAAATCAAATATTTTTATAAATAATCATAAAAATTGAAGTGTAATCACACTTATTATAAAGAATTTTTTACTTTAAAAAACGATAATTATTCAAAAGAATCATAAAAGATAATCCTTAAAAAACAAATTTATTATAGGACTGCAAATATGCAAATGAGCTGTTCATTTTGAAAGTGGCCTAACTCCATTTTCCTAAAAAATCGAGTTAGCTATCGTAATAGTTATAATTTTACGTGATATTTTCATTCTGAATCAATTTATTACAAATTTATTTAAAATCGTGAAGATTTTATAAAAAAAAAAATAAGCTGATTAACACACATCAAATCGGTCGGTAAATTTTGTTTATATTCGTTGATAAGTTACCGACCGTAGTTAATCAACTGGTAACCTTCCACCTAAGAATTACCATCAAAACATATTCATGAAAGTACATATTCTTTTCTCGTAGATAGCGCCATATATCTATTATCATAGTAATTTAGTAATCAGTTTGTCCACTAGATGGTGCAAAATATTTAATTTCGTAATAGATTTAGTAATCAGTTTCACCAGTATAGACGGTGAGATAATTTAAAAAACTATCGATAAATATAATAAATATAAATTATAATGATTTGTTATTAACAATTACAAAAATTATATTATTTATCCATGAACTATATAAGATATTATAAATATAGGATATTATATTATGTCTATTATCCAAAAAAATATGATATGACATCACACTATTTTTATAAAATATAAGTTTATAAAATATGCATTATAAAAATATGTTTATAAAATATAACAAAAAAAATATTTTTTACAAATACTTATTTACTTATTAATAATTTTTTATTTGCAATTGTGATATGATGACACACTGTCTTAAAAATTACAATTAATTTGTTATATTATTGTTAATGTTATTATTATAAGTAGAGTTAGAAGTTAAAGATTTGGAAATGTTTATAATTATATAAAATTTTGTTTTAATTATAACACGTACTATTCGTCGGTAAAACAGATTGCATCAAATAGCACCATCTAGGAGAAGAACCAAGTACTCTTGGCATCAATGCTGTAAATTCAGTGATCCCATTCGTACGATAATTATCGTACACGTCACATAATTTGAAGCCTTGTATGATCCAAAATCCCACTTGTACGATAAATTACGATTATTCGCCTTTAGTTATTTATGTATCGATGTATCGAAAAGTTCGAAAAAGCAAATTTTTGATTGACTACAGTCATATTTCTTAGCCACAATAGCCACAATAGCCAGAGATAACCAAGAAAAAAGGTCATCAAGTTTGCTACGGTATACATTTTTACTTTTTTTTACGGTATTTAAAATCGTACGATAATTTTACTAAGAACCCGATAATTTTACGGCACTGTGTCGATCAGACAAGTATAAGTTTCTGGGATCATTGATGCTGTTCTATTGCATCAAAATATAGTTGGGTTTCAATCTTTAATTAATTAACTGTGTTTATGTGTTAATATTATTGGTTGATTAAACAATAATCGTCAATGCTTTTAATTGGTCAATATTTTTTGTAATGTTCGTTTTTTATAATTGTATATATTTCTTTCCTGATAGAAATACCACGAGTAAACAAAATGTAAATAAAGAACATTCCAGATAACTGTATAAAAAAAATAATA